CCCCCGCGCCGCCCGGCCGGCTCCAACTTACAACGGCATCGTCTCTCCAGCGCCGCCGCCGCTCTGCCCTCCCCCCGCCGCTAACGGACCGGTCACTCGTGCCCCCGCGCGGCGGAGGCCGTGCGCATGATACGGGCCGGGCGAGGCCCTGGCGGGAGGAGAAGCCGCTCCTAGGCCCGGCCGCCGCCGCTTCACTTTCCTCTTCTCCTCCGGCCTCCTAACATGGCGGCCGGGCGCTACCACAGCGGCGCTCCGGCGCGGGGGGAAGAACGGGAGAGCCCACGCAGCAACGTGGCCACCCCCGGACGTGGAGCACGCCGCCTCGCTCGCGCATGCGCTCTCACGCCGCGGCCGGCCGGCGGTTTGGGAAATGTAGTTCCGGCCGGCGCCGGCAAGGACGTTTGAAAACAAAGGGCTAACTGCCGCCGGGCAGGGGCGCGCGTGCGCAGAAAGCTGGGTTGGGCCGGGCCTAGCGCAGAGTGGGGAGGGGGCGTGTCTTCGACCGCAGCCCCCGGCTTCGGGGGCGGAGGCTGCCCGGCTTCCTGTGCCTGCGCGGTGAAGGGGGGCGAGCCCGGGGCTGACTTGTGCAGGAGGGGCGCGCTCCCTGCCTGGCAGAGACACCAGGCGCCCAAGCCCGGCTGCTCGGTCGGTACACTAAAGACGTTAGCATCCACTAAATACATTTGAATCCATTCACTTGCATCATAAGAGCTGCCATTGGCTGAGTCAGACCCTAGTCAGACTTTTGCCCAGTACCCCTGTGCCACCACTTAAGCAGGCTGGGGGGTACCAAGTGGGTCAAACAGCCCAACACCCCCTGCGCTAAATGTGGGTGCTATGCACTGCATCATCCCATCCTTGTGTCCTGCCCTGACGAGTGGAGATGCCCTGGGCAGAGGTGGGAGCAAGGGTCCTGGGTGGACAAGTCTCTATTCCAGTCTGGCACGGGGAACCTGGTCGGGAGGCTCCTCCATGGAGCCATTGCCATGGGCACGCATCTAATACATGCTAGGGATATCCCTGGCACCTGCCCCTTCTACCAACAAAGGGGACCCTGGCGCTCAGCTGCCTCAAGTGTGATAGGTTGCAGCCCCTGTTCTGCCTCCAGATCCTCCGGCTAAGGTTCTGGCTGCACTGCTTCTTGCACTGCTGTTAAGAGCTCCCTATCCGCGGTCCCACCAAACCCTGGGACATCCTGGTCAGGCTCCTGCCAGCTCGAGCTAAGCTGGCCATCTAATGGAAGAGGAAGAAGGCTCTGGCTGGGGGGAACGCAGGAGAGTCTGGGGCTGTATCTGTCACTCCTCTGTGCTTGGGTCTCTGGGCAGAGTTTCACTGGTTGGTGTTCACAGGTTCCCTTGACTCATTTAGGAGGCAGTGAACGCTGGTCAGTGTACTCTGTGTGGTGTCCCCTTCTAGCTCGTTTTTTATCAGCCTATGACCCTCACTCCCTTTCCTGTTTTGTCTTTATTTGGCCCCTGAACTCAGTTGATATGTCCCTGGTGCCCTTCCTTATTAAGGGAGGCTTACAGTTTTACTTGATGGGTTGAAGCCCATGATCCACTTGGCACATCAAATAAGCCTGTGTCACACAGTGCCAGAGAGTGGATACTGAGAGGGAGAGAGAACAGGGTACAACTGGGGCTTTTTCCACTGTTCCTTTTCC